GTCCTGTCAGTGCGGGGGCGGGAGACCAGCGGAGGTCAGCGGGTGTCCCCGCTTGTCGAGCGCTCACGACACACTTGGCTTGTGTGAGCCCCACTTGAGCACCTGTTTCACCCAGCGAAGAAATCGTCTGAGCTTCTGCTTCTATGCCGAAGGGCCACAGCAAAACCACCACTCGGGGCTGGCTTTGCAGCTGCCAATCGAGGTACACGGAGCAGCGATGCCCCGCCCAGCTGCTCCCCGGGAACAGCTCACACAGGCTGTGACCACAGCATCTCTGCTTTGACTGTATCTGAGTGTTGTTAGGATTTGTTTGTTGTGGTGGTGGTTTTAACGTGTTATTTTGGCCTGATCTGGTGTCACTTTTGGTTCTGGGAAACCCTCCAAATTTTCCATAAAAGTGAATGGCGGGGCCCTCCCGGGTGGCGCAGCGGGTTAAAGCACAGCACTGAGAAACTAAAGCCACTTCCGCATGAGTTCGATTCCCGCCTGCCCCGGAGGTGACCCACATAGCGCAGCAGACCTCTCCTGACCCGCCCGCTGCTCCCCTCAGCAGTGGACTTCGCCAATCTGCCTGTTCTGCTCCCCACTCTGTCCCTGGTGACCCTCTCACCCCCAGTACCTCTGGCCTGTACCCCAGTTCTGTATACATAAATAAAAAAAATCTTACAACAAACAAACAAACTGGCTGAGGGACCTCCCTGGTGGCATAACGAGTTAGGACTCAGCACTGCAAGCCGCAGATGCTTCTGAGCGAGTTCGATCCCCACCCTGGAGGTGACCCCCCAGGGCGCAGCAGACCTCTCCTGTCTCCCTGCTGCTCCCCTCAGCAGTGTACTTTGTCAGTTGGCCTGTCCTGCTCCCCGCTCTGTCTCTGGTGAAGCCTCTCACCGCCCCTGCACCTCTGGCCTGTACCCAGTTCTGTGTGCATAAATAAATATTAAAAAAGAAAATTGGCTGAAGCAGGCTGATTACGTAAACAGCCGATGCCTCCCTCCCTCCCCGTGAACCTGTGATGTTCATGTCGAGTCGGCAACATGGTCCTGACTCCCTCCACGAAGCCCCCGGTCCGCCCAACTCCATCCCCCAGAACAGAACAAGCCCCCCATGCCACCGCGCGCCCCCAGAAGCTGTGCGGCAGCCCTGCAGAAGAACTGGCCTCGGGGGACCGCTACAGCACAGAGCAGGCGGCGCTGCGGCCAGCCTCCGGGAGGCCGCTTTTCCCTTTCTTATTTTTTATGAATTTATGTATCTATTGACATTACTGTTCGTTTTAAAACAATGTTTTACTTCCCCTCCCACTTCGCCCTCCTGTCGTCACCACAGTCCCCACGTTCCTCCCTCCCTGTCCCCCTCCCCTGCAGGATCTCTCTGGTTTTAACTGCCCAAAGCTAGATGACTGGACCCACCAGCTGCGGCACATGCAGAGGGAATACCACCCGGCGATCAAAAACGGTAAGCTCACGCCCTTCGCGCGACATGGATGCAGCTGGAAGCGATCGAGCTCAGTGAGATAAGGCAGAAGGGAAAAGAAATGCCGAATGGCTTCACGTATGGGAGGAATGTAAGAGAAACCCAACGGGACAAGCAAACAGGAGCCACTCACTGCCTCTTCTGCTCCGTCCCTCTCAGTCCTGAGCACGTGGGCAGGAATTCACCACTCAGAACTGGACCCAGGCTCAAGTCCAAGCTTGGCCTTCTCCAGGGCCCAGAGCCGTCAGCTTTCCGGCTGTTTCGATTTCTTTCAATCGCCTGGTTTCTTAAGCTGGTGGCATTCTTATTTTTGCTGTCCTTTTTGATGAGAGGTTTTATTTCTTTATCTCTCTGGCTGCTCTCACATTTTTTCTCTCGTTTGGAAAGTACATGTCTCGCTAGGTAGAGCATATCTGTGAATGGCGGCATTTTGTTCAACATTATTTCATTATAACGGTGATGAGAAAATAAACCACATCCTGGCCGTCACGGAGGCCACGGTGATTCCAGAACTGCTTTCCTTATCCTGGTTTCCCTTAAAATCAGCGTCTACAATGGCCCTCCCTGGTGGCGCAGCGGGTTAAAGCACTGCACTGAGAATCTAAAGCCGATTCCTCATGAGTTCGAATCCCGCCTACCCCGGAGGTGACCACATGGTGCGGCAGACCTCTCCTGACCCGCCCGCTGCTCCCCTCAGCAGTGTGCTTCGTAGATCTGCCTGTTCTGCTCCCCACTATGTCTCTGGTGAAGCCTCTCGCCGCCCCTGAGCTTCTGGCCTGTACCCCAGTTCTGTATGTACAAATAAATAAATCTTAAAAAAAAAAAAAATCAGCGTCTACAAGAACTTACCTGCCATGTTCTATGAGGACTTACCAGAGTTCGTTACCTATGACAAGTTTGTCACCCAGGCAACAGGCAGCCTGCAAAACAGCCCCAAGGAGCTGCCCCACCAGCCTTAAGAGCCACGCTCGCGTCCCCCCGTGGCGTCCCCCCGCGGCGTCCCTCCAAGGCACAGCTGCTAAATCACCAGCAGGCCATGGCACTCGCTAGAAATGCCAGGGAGGAGGCGAATGTGGCCATCGCCACCCACTTCTAAAGCAGGGTGTAGAATCGGAAATGGCAGCCCTGGGTGGGCTGTTTGGGAAAAGCAGCAACACATAACCAAACCACCACGGAGACAGAGAAAGGGCAAGCGAGAAGCTTCCAGCCGCCAGTGGCCACGACGGGCTGTCTGGGCCCGAGGGGGGCGCCTTGACTGGCGCAGAGCCTCTTCCTTCCAGACACAGAGAAAAGGCTGGGGGCCAGGCGCCCCAAGGGCAGAGGTCAGAGCCCTCTGACCGGGAAGCTCCCACCGGGGCCGTGACATGCGGGTTTACGCCAGGCCCCGCCGGGAAGGCGAGATCTGGCTGAAATCCATTTCCAAAGAGCTGGGTTGACAAGGACAGAAGCCAGTTGCAGTGAATTTCAAGGACCTCTTCAAATACTTGTGGCTGCAGATTCTCACTGTACTGAATGATTTTCTGAGAAACGGACCGTAAGTTGGGGATTGGGTTATTTTCTATTTCATGTGTACGAAAGGCAGTAATAAATTTGGCCTGTAAGGCAATTTGCAAAGAGGTCTCTTGAAACATTTCATAAACTTATAATTTCTCTGTCCACTAAGCATTACCAGAGCCACTTTAGACAGAAGCAGGAAGCAATAGAGCAGCGAGGAAGCACAGGAGGCCGGCGGCCAGCACGGCCCCAGGTGGTCCTTACCAAGCTGCAGCAGACCCGGTTCGGTTCCGGCTCCCCAGGGCTTGCCAGATCCCTTTGTGGTGCTTGACTCAGGAGCCCCCCTTCACCTCTGCTGGGTCTCACCTCCATCCTGCCTCTGTGAAATGCCAGCGATGGTGCCACCACAGGGCATTTGCACCTGCTGTCCCATGTTCTGGAAACACTTCCCACCTAATACCAGAGCTGGGTGAGGGGCAGGACCTGGGCCGCTGCCTCTGACGACCGTCCTTAGCGCGGCTGAACTGATGCCACCCACTCAGAAGAGGGCCAGGTGAGGGAAAGAGAGCGAGACTCGTCGGGCGAACATTTGTCACGGGGAGACATCCCTGCCCTTAAAGACACACAAGTGGAAAGAGCTGCAGGTGATGGATGGAACAGCCCCAAGGGGCAGGCAGAGAAGGAAGAGGAAGGACGGGGGACAGCAAGGGCAGTGGTGACACGTGCGAGGGCGCCTTCCCCCAAGGGGGAGGGTGTAGGGGAGGGCACTCGTATTCCATGAAACCCCAGAGTCATACGCAGAACCTTGTGCGGAACAAGCTTATCTCTGGCTTTTCAGAGTGGCCCTTGACCAAAACAGGACTTGGAGCAGCGCTAATTCATGTTTTCTGTCATTACTGTCAGTCCGCCGGCAGCCATTTCTTAAGTGGTTATTACCCTATTTCACCAAATCTTAAGAAAAAATGATTTTAAGACAACGTCGTCATGTCATAGGCTAATTCCACTTCCATTGGTTGGATGACAAATACTAACTTCAGAGGTGCCAAAAATGCAAAACTGAGTGAGTCTGAGAACTGATGAAGCACGGTGCCAGTCCCTGAGTGCCAGTGCTAGAAATAACATTCATTATCCTGCTTCACAAGAAGGGACACAGCCCAACGCCAACAATTCGAGCCAAGTTCTGCCCGAAAGCTTCCCACGCAGGACAGGCCCCCGCCCCACGGATCCTATAGCCCGGTGCAGGACGGGCCCTCCCACGACCCAGTGCTCGGGAGATGCCCAGAGGAATCACACGGGGATGGAGCATCGCGGATGGAACCGGCGTGAATCGAAGGCTTCGAGCAACCGTCCTGGGCTGCAGCCAAGCCTCACGTTTATTATTCCAAGAGCAGTGGCCCTCCCCTCGGCTTTGCAGCTTGCCCTCACGTCAATAAACAACTACTTAAGTGGGATTTAATGATGCAGAACAGATAGTCCCTCTGTTCAAAGTGGGGTTTGGAAACAAAAGGCGGGTGGTTCCTTGGCAGTGTGAAAGACAAATCGCTCAAGGGCAGAGGAAAGACGGGAGGGCTTGAGAAAACCCACCCATTACAGGAGTCTTCACACGCCTGTGCCAGCAGGCTCCCACAGGCTCTGACAGTCACCTGCTGGCAGACGGTGACCTGAAGGATATCTCTCCAAGAAACGCAAGCCATGCTCCACACAACCCCCCCCCCCAATTTTGCTCAGTTTGGTGACCTGAGCCAGGTGTCCACAGGCTCCTTTGCTCCCCAGCACCGCACAGACCAGGCAGGAGGTCAGGGGAGGCGCTCAGAAAAGGGGCTGGTTTTCTAGTAGGGTTGTGGGTGGTGGGAAGAAAAGCTAGAAAGTTTGGAGCCTGGAAGGTGGGAAGATGCAATGATTTTCTCATCACCTATCCATAAAGAAAGAAGTAAAAAATGTTCTCTGAAGGGAAGATGATTAAGATCTAGACGCAGACACCCACAAACCCCAATATGTTAATAATCCATCTCTAACGAGATTAAAATACTGACACCCCACCCCTAGAAAATCCTGTTACCCAGACAAGGTTATGGAAAAGTGATCTGGTGGTCTGGTCCCACGGAAACCTGATTAGCTCAAAGTGCCTCTAATTAAATCTAAAGAGGGAGTTCTCGTCTGGAAAAGAATGATCTCAGAAAGAAATGTCGGTGTGGCTACTGGCCCACAGAGTCTCTGAAATCAAATGGCTATAAACTCTCCTTTTGGGTGAGTTGTATAGCCAAGAGAGGCACAGGCCAGGGTCCTCCCTGGTGGCACAACAGGTTAGGACACAGCACTGCAAGCTGGCCACAGCTGCTTCAGTGTGAGTTCGATCCCCAGCCCCGGAGGTGACCCACAGGGTGCAGCAGACCTCTCCTGTCTCCCCGCTGCTCCCTTCAATAGTGTATTTCAGTAGAGCTGTCTGTTCTGCTCCCCACTGTGTCTCTGGTGGGTCCTCTCGCCCCTACACTTCTGGCCTATACCCCACCTTTAGCCTGTACCCCATCTCTGTATGCGTAAGTAAATGAACTTAAAATAAAAGAGAGAAACAGACAGACAAAGGCCAGTGTAAAAGAACGTATGGCCAGAAGGGATGAAGATGACATCAGGGACCCTGAATTTCTGAAGGCAGGGAGCTGCAAAAAATGTCTAGGAAGACTTTTTCAGCTGTGTCCAAAGAGGATCTCCTAAGGCACAGCCCAGAACCACAGAGAACTATGGAGCTCTCTCCAAAGCACAGAAAGCCGTTCCCCAAGAGGCAGGCCCCTTCCTGGGGCTGGGCTCCTTAAGGGGTTCGTCCAGCAGGACTTCAGAATAGTCACGCCACGATGGCTGTGTGAAGCCGTCTGTCTGAAAGAGTTTGTTGGGATTTTCCCACTTCTGCTCCATCATGTCAGACTTGAGGGACAGGCTGTTTGCTCCTAGGCCCCACCTCAAGAGCAACTAAACCCAGATGTGATATAGAGCCTATCGTGAGATCCCAAAATTCACACTGGATTCCATAATGGGGTGAGAATTTGGAGCTCGCTTCCACTGGGTCAGAAGTGAACCTATTTTCTGGACAGAAGGAACTAGAGCAATTATGCGTGCCCAAGAGGGAAGACCACAGGGGTTGTTATATTCGCGATGAGTCATGTCTCTCTTTCCCGTAGAGGATTCTTCTATCCCCACTGGATTCTGGATTTCAAGACCTCCTAGAGCCCAAGTTCCTTCCCTGCACAATGTCAAGCACGTGACCTTCTGGATGTGAGTGGAGACAGGCAGACCACATTCAAGCAGAATTCCCAGAGGGCATCGCAATTTCCCTCCCACCATGCCACTGGGCATGTTTTGGGGGCTTCTTCTCCTCCTGGGCCCAGAAGCAGAAGCTACCTAAGTAGGGACACAGCCAACCTGCAGCCTGATGGCACCTGAGAACAAAATCAGCCTTTGTGGTTGAGCATCTCTGGGGTTGCTCATTAGGAGGCAAAGCTGACTCATACAACTTGAATATTCCAATTAGCAAAGTCAATGTCAAAACCCTCAGCAGTGCTGCAGAGGAATGCAAAGGCCGGAAGGCCAGTCGGCCAGTCAAAGATAAGTTTCGATCCTCCCCCGGAGTAAAAGTTACAGGATCTGACTGTTATCTGCACCAGTCATTGGCAAGCAGGGACTTGTGACCACCCAGCCCCTCCAAAATGCCTCATAAACCCATGGCTGTAAGAAGCCGGGTCCTCCCCTCTCAAGGAGTGTCCGCTGCGGGATCACTCTGGGGGGACCCTAGCTCCAGCTAGCTAATAAAGGCTCACTTTGCTTTTACATCAGACTTGGGTCTCGGTGGTTACTGGGATCGGTGCTTTCACACTTTAACAGTGTGCAGCCGGCTGCAGACACAAGCCTGTGATCACACGGGCACTCCCGGCTTTCCAGCTTCATCTTCCCGGGATTGGATTCTCAGAACACAACTGATGCTATGTGAATGCTTCATCTGATGAGCGAGTGCCATCATCTCCGTGAGTTGTCTAACAGTGAAACTTAACCATGAACGCAGAAACTCAAACCATGGTTTTTTTATGCTT